CATTCTCTGTCTGTCTGTCTCTGTCTCTGTCTCTCTCTCTCTCTGTACCTTCCCCCCTCTTTCTTTCTCTGTCTCTCGCTCTCCCGTCCTCCTTTCCTTCCTCCCTTCTTCCATACTCTCCTTCCCTCCCTCCCTCCCTACTTACCTACCTACCTTCTCTTCTTCCTCCTATTCCCCCTCCTTCTCTTCCTCCTCTTTCTCCTCTTCCTCTTTCTCCTCTTACTACTCTCTCTCTCTCTCTCCACCCATTCCATTTCCTTCTTTCTTCTCTTTGGATACGCAAAAAAAAGAAGAAAAAGAAAAAGAAAAAAAATCTAGTGAGCAGAATGAGAAATGAGAAAACAAAAGAAGACATCTTTGCGCAGTGAGAGCTGGATTGTGAGTGTCATATAGATCCGACAGTTAAAAAGAAAATGTTGCTTTTGTGTGAATTTCGGGAGAGAAAATATCGGTCTCTTTAAATATATATATATATATATATATATATATATATATATATATATATATATATATATATATATATATATATATATATATATATATATATATATATATATATATATATATATATATGTAATATAACATTAACTGATTAGAATATGCATGAAGTTGTTTTTCCCTTAATGCTTAACTGTGGGATTCAATGTACGGAGTGTTATTGTTCTGTACAATGAGATGGTGAATGTTAATGGGAGTCTGTTTGCTTGTTTATTCATGCAATTATCGTTTTTTTTTTCGCTCGAGTCACACTTATGTACGTTTTAAATACACAGACTCACGCAAATGCAAACACTTGGGCTCAGAGGTACGCAAATATATATATACCCACACGCATTCATGCTTATGCGCTTACGCATTCATACACCCCCATATAAATTCATACTCAACCGCGTACGAATAACCCCACACACACACGCGCGCGCGCCCGCACACACACACGCGCGCACGCACACACCACACACACACGCGCGCGCACCCCCACACACAAGCGCGCGTGCACACACACACACACACAATCAACTCACAGACGCACGCACACGCAAACACACGCTTCACCATCTGGTCGCGCAGGTGACCTCACAAGGTCACGTGTCTCGCCTGGGTGACCAGCTGGAGGGGCTGCCGGGCCGCGGTGACGTCACGCGCGCCCATCCACCCCCGCCCCTCCCCGGCCCCGCCACCACCTGTGTTCCTGCATGCCGAGTGGACCCAACATGCCATGAGGCCATGGCGACGATGCACGTGTGTCTCATCATGCACGCTGAGGGGAGGGGGGAGGGGGAAGGGCAGGGAGGCACACATGCTGACCTGCATGACGATCACGTGGGCGCTGGTCCTGCCCACTCCCACCTGCCCGCCCCGACGCAGGTGCGTGCAGGTGCGCTGCTCTGGCTGCGCTGCCCGGGCATCTGTACAGGTAATGGAGGTGAGGGAAATGAAAGGGACCGATAATTAGATAGAAAGAGTATCTAATGGGAAAAGGAAAACGCAAATGCCTCGAAAGGGGGGACTAGGAGAGAGACGAAATACGCACCGAAATGGAGGGAAATAAGGCAGACACAGAGAGAAATACAGAGATAAACATCGGATGAGAGATAATGATAACTTTCCTTACCCCGAGCGTTTAGTTGGGCGAGCCAAGGTTGCCAGATCCTCACCTGCCGCCTCCAGTGGTGCCAAATCTCCGTCTTGGCGCGTGGAGGGTGAGGAACCTGCACGAGCTACACCTGATTTTCCAAAAGCTTTTACAGCGTCCCCACTAAGAGGCGGAGATGAGCCAGCGCGAACGAATCCTTACAAAAATGGCCAGTCCCGAACATCGGCCATTAAAGGAGGGAAATCGAACAGGAATGAAAGTCACGAAGCAGAGATCAGTCTGAGCTCCCCGGAGATCGCCATGGCTCAAGGGCAGAATATGTCGCGGGACGAAAACGAACGGGAAAGGGCGAAGGTGAGTGGTAAGTCGCGTGGGCAGGGTTGTTACCTTGGGTTTGGAGGTGCGAGCTTGTACACTCGGCACCACCGGGCGTGCCTGCCCGCGCTACTGTGCCCACACATCCTCTCTCTCTCTTATTATCGCACATTTTCCCCTCTTTCTGGCGTGCTCCCTGCGACGCACGCCCGGACGCCGCGACGAGGGGCGCTGCGAACGTCAGAAGCGGCGGCCGAGGGCCGGCCTGCGCCGAGGCTCCGCCGAGAAAGAAATGCGGCGCAAAATGAGCGCGCTGGCCACCGGGAAATGAGTCAAGCCCAGTTTTCGATGAATGGACGCGTCGGGTGACCTCAGCAGGCTTTTTTCCCCCAGCAGCGGTAACCTTCCGCCCGAAACCGCAGAAATGGGCATTATCCTTCGTGAGTCGTCGTGCCCGACACCTGCACTGCCCCATGCCCCCTCCTACCTCCATAGCCCCCCGCACCGCACCTCCCCCTCCCCCCTTTCCCGTATCTTTCACGCGTCAACCAAACACCAATATGTCTTCCGGACACACGGGTACGCACACGCACACACACGGACACGCACGTACATGGACTTCAAAGCATATTAAAACACTTGAGCATTTCTTAGAAAAGCCTTGCCTCAGTTCGACGTCGACGCCGCCGTGTCATGGAAAGGTGAAGAATAAAACATAAGGATAATAGAAGGGAGACATAGAGGCGAAGGAGAGGAAATGAAAGGAGTGATTAGTAGAGTCAGAAATGAAAGTGACGAGGAAAAAGAGCAATTAAATGGAGGTGGAAAAAAAGAGTTGAAAATAAAAGAAAATATGTAAAACGAAGAATACTCTTTGTAACTTTACTCGATGAGAAAGATAGACAATATGAATGAAGATAGATAGAGAAAGAGAGAAAGAGAGAGAGAGGGAGAGAGAGAGAGAGAGAGAGAGAGAGAGAGAGAGAGAGAGAGAGAGAGAGAGAGAGAGAGAGAGAGAGAGAGAGAGAGAGAGAGAGAGAGAGAGAGAGAGAGAGAGAGAGAGAGAGAGATAGAGAGAGAGAGAAATAGAGATAGATAGAGATAAGAGAGAAAGAGAGAGAGAGAGACTGAGAGGGAAGAGAAATAAAGAGACAGAGACAGACAGGGCTCCGAGGGTATGGCGCCAAGGTGGGTTCGGCTCGTCGGACGACCTTGCAGGATAGGCCAGGATTTCTTTCTTTCTGTCTGCCTGTCCGCTCGTCTCTCTCTCTCTCTCTCTCTCTCTCTCTCTCTCTCTCTCTATATATATATATATATATATATATAACCCAGCCTCCCTCCCTTCCTTCCTTCTTTCTTTCTTTCTCCCCTTCCCTCCTCCCACCTTGCCCTTTCCTTCCCACCCCTCCCTTCCCTCCCATCCTTCCCATCCCTTCTCTTCCACCCCTCCCCTCCCTCCCCTCCCTTCCCTTCCCTTCCCTTCCACCCCTCCCCTCCCTCCCCTCCTTCCCTTCCCCCCTCCCTCCCACTCCTCCCCTCCCTCCCATCCCATCCCTCCCTTCCCTCCCCACTCATCCCATCCCATCCCACCCCTCCCTTCCTTCCCTTTCCCACCCCTCCCTCCCTCCCTTTCCCATCCCACCCCTCCTCCTTTCCCTTCCACCCCTCCCCTCCCTTCCCACCCCACCCATCCCACCCTTCCCACCCACCCATCCCTCCCCTCCACCCATCCCTTCTCCCTACCCCACCCTTCCCTCCCATCCCTTCCCTCCCACTCCTTCCCACCCCTCCCACCCTTCCCTTTCCCTCCCACCCCTCCCATCCCACCCCTCCTTTCCCTCCCTTCCCTCCCTCTCTCCAAAAGGCATTCCGAGGCGACACCGCGGCCCGTGAGATGCTTCCCGTCCGCCATTTCCGTTTGCCTCGGGGACGGAGGCGTCGCGGCGGCGTAAGTGCGCAGTGCTGGCCAAGAGCGGCGCTGGGCGAGGCGGCGGGAGAGGGAGTGGGAGAGCGGGTGGAAAAGGGGGTGGAGAAGAGAGGGAGGGAGTGGGTGGAGGGGAAGAGGGGTGGGAGAGCGGGTGGAGAAGGGGGTGGAGAAGAAAAGGGGTGGAGAAGAGAGGGGAGGGAGTGGGTGGAGGGGAAGAGGGGGTGGAGAAGGGGGGGTGGAGAAGAGAGGGGAGGGAGTGGGTGGAGGGGAAGAGGGGTGGAGAACGGGGTGTGTGGAGAAGGGGGTGGAGAAGGGGGTGGAGAAAGGGGGGTGGAGGGAAGGGGGTATGAGAAAGGTGGAGAAGGGGATGGAGAAGGGGGTGGAAAAGGGGTGGAGAAAGGGGGGGTGGAGAAGGGGTGGAGGGGGGGGAGAAGGGGGAGAAGGGGGGGGGGGGGGGTGAAGGGGGGTGGAGAGGGAAGGGGGTGGAGAAGGGGGTGGTGGAGGGGAAGGGGTGGAGAAGGGAGGGTGGAGAGGAAAGAGACGGGTGGAGTAGGTGGAGGGGAAAGGGGGGTTATGAGAAGGGGGTGGAGAAGGGGGTGGATGGGTGGAGGGAAGGGGTGTGTGAGAAAAGGGTGGAGAAGGTGGTGGAGAAGGTGGGGTGGAGGGGAAGAAAACGGGTGGAGTAGGTGGAGGGAAAGGGGGGTTGTGAGAAGGGGTGGAGAAGGGGGGGTGGAGAAGGGGAGGGGTGGAGGGAAGAGACGGGTGGAGTAGGTGGAGGGGAAAGGGGGGGGGATATGAGAAAGGGTGGAGAAGGGGGAGTTGGGTGGAGAAGAGGATGAAGAAGGGGGTAGAGAAAGGGAAGGGTGGGTAGGAGAAGGGGGAGTAGGTGGAAGGGAAGGGTGTAGGAAAAGGGAGAATGGAGTTGGTGGAGGGGAAGGTAGGAGTAGGAGAAGAGGGGTAGAGTGGATATAGGGAAAGGTTGTGGAGTGAATGGAGAAAGGGGGGTGGTAGGGGAAAGAGGGGTGGAGGAGGTGGAGAAAGGAGTCAGGGATGTGGGGGGAGAGGGGGGTGAGGTGATGGAGAAGGGGCAGGGAGGGGGAAAGGGGGGGAGGCTGGGAAGACAGGTGCCCATGGGTGCCTAAGATGGGGGGGGGGGGGGGGTCAGGTGAGATTAGATGGTAGTGATTCGGCCAGGGGTGTTGATTCGGCCAGGTGGTGTTGATTCGGCCAGTGGTGTTGATTCGGCCAGGTGGTGTTGATTCGGCCAGGTGGTGTTGATTCGGCCAGGTGGTGTTGATTCGGCCAGGTGGTGTGATTGGTGTGATTCGGCCAGGTGGTGTTGATTCGGCCAGGTGGTGTTGATTCGGCCAGGTGGTGTTGATTCGGCCAGGTGGTGTTGATTCGCCAGGTGGTGTTGAGGCCAGGTGGTGTTGATGAGACCAGGTGGTGTTGATGAGGTCGGATGGTGTTTGTGAGGCCGGATGGTGTTGGTGAGGCCAGGTGGTGTTGATGAGGCCAGGTGGTGTTGATGAGGCCAGGTGGTGTTGATGAGGCCAGTTGTTGATGAGGCCAGGTGGATGAGACCAGGTGGTGTTGATGAGACCAGGTGGTGTTGATGAGGCCCGGATGGTGTTTGTGAGGCCGGATGAGGCCAGTGTTGATAGGCCAGGTGGTGTTGATGAGGCCAGGTGGTGTTGAGGCCAGGTGGTGTTGATGAGGCCAGTTTGGTGTGATGAGGCCAGGTGGTGTTAATGAGGGCAGTGGTGTTGGGTGGTGTTGATGAGACCAGGTGGTGTTGATGTGGCTAGGTGGTGTTGATGAGGCCAGTTGGTGTGGATAAGGGCAGGTGGTGTTAATGAGGGCAGGTGGCGTTGATGAGAACAGGTGGTGTTGATGAGGCCAGGTGGTGTTGATGGCCAGGTGGTGTTGATGGCCAGTTGGTGTTGATGAGACTGTTGATGAGACCAGGTGGGTGTGGATGTTGTGTTTGTGTGGTGTTGATGAGGCCAGGTGGTGTTGATGAGGCCAGGGTGGTGTTGATGAGGGCCAGGTGTGTTGATGAGCCAGGTGGTGTTGATTTGGTGTTGATGAGACCAGGTGGTGTGATGAGACCAGGCCAGGTGGTGTGGATGAAGCCAAGTGGTTTTGATGAGGCCAGGTGGTGTTAATGAGACCGGATGGTGTCGATGAGGCCAGGTGGTGTTGATGAGGCCAATTGATGTTGATGAGGCCAGGTGGTGTTGATGAGGCCAATTGGTGTTGATGAGGCCAGGTGGTGTTGATTCGGCCAGGTGATGTTGATGAGGCCAGGTGGCGTTGATGTGGCCAGGTGTTGATGAGGCCAAGTGGTGTTGATATGGCCAGATGGTGTTGATGAGGCCAGTTGGTGTTGATGATGCCAGGTGGTGTTGATGATGCCAGGTGGTGTTGATGATGCCAGGTGGTGTTGATGAGGCCAGGTGGTGTTGATGATGCCAGGTGGCGTTGATGAGGCCAGGTGGCGTTGATGTGGCCAGGTGCTGATGAGGCCAAGTGGTGTTGATGAGACCAGATGGTGTTGATGAGGCAAGGTGGTGTTGATAAGGCCAGGTGGTGTTGATGAGGCTAGGTGGTTTTGATGAGACCAGGTGGTGTTGATGCTAGTGGTGTTGATGTGATGAGGCCAGATGTGTTGGAGACCAGATGGTGTTGATGAGGCCAGGTGGTGTTGATGAGGCCAGTTGATGTTGATTCGGCCAGGTGGTTTGATTCGGCCAGGTGATGTTGATTCGGCCAGGTGGTGTTGATTCGGCCAGGTGGTGTTGATGAGCCAGGTGGGTGTTGATGTGGCCAGTTGGTGTTGATGGACCAGGTGGTGTTGATGAGCCAGGTGGTGTTGATGTCCAGGTGGGTTGATGAGGCCATGAGTGTGTTGATAAGGCCAGGTGGTGTTGATGAGGCCAGTGTGTTGATGAGGCCAGGGTTGTTGCCAGGTGGTGTTGATGAGGCCAGGTGGTGTTGATGAGGCCAGGTGGTGTTGATGAGGCCAGGTGGTGTTGATGAGGCCAGGTGGTGTTGATGAGGCCAGGTGGTGTTGATGAGGCCAGGTGGTGTTTGATGGGCCAGGCCGTTGGTTGTTGATGAGACCAAGTGGTGTTGATGCTATGCCAGTTGGTGTTGATGAGACCAGTTGGTGTTGATGAGGTGGGTGTTGATGAGGCCAGATGGTGTTGATGTTGCGATGTGGTGTTTGATGAGGCCAGAGATGAGCCAGATGGTGTGAGGCCATGGTGTGTTGAGCCAGTGGGTGTTGATGTGGCCAGTTGGTGTTATGAGCCAGTTGGTGTTTGATGGGGACCAGGTGGTGCATATGCTAGGTGGTGTTGATAAGGCCAGGTGGTGTTGATGAGACCAGATGGTGTTGATGAGGCCAGATGGTGTTGATGAGACCAGTTGGTGTTATGAGGCCGGTGAGTGTTGATGAGGCCAGATGGTGGTGATGGCCAGGTGGTGATGATTAGGTAAGGCAAGGTGATGAGTCCAAGTAGCATGATGCTGATGGAAATGCCCGAGCCAGATGGTGTTGATGAGGCCAGGTGGTGTTGATGAGGCCAGTTGGTGTTGATGAGGCCAGGTGGTGTTGATGAGGTCAGGCAAGGTGATGAGTCCAAGTAGCAGTAAT